ATAATTTAAACAAACGCTATAATCCACAACGAACGAACGATTCACGCGCTTGACTCAATTGTCGTCTCTGTCTCTGTCTGGAATTCAATTACATTGTTGCCGTCAGTTCTTGGCGGTCTTATATACAAGAATATCGCATATCTAGTAAACACTCGAGGCTTCACGAAGGGACACGAACGTTCTAGAAGCTCATGACGTGTTACCAGAGTCACGTGACATCCGCTGTCGTAACAATACATTACTTTATTATCAGTTGTCAAACGAAGAGTTAGACATGTTTTTTTTTGAAAAAGAAAGAAAGGGTGAGTAAGTAGCTATATATATTTAAATACGTTGTATTGACTAATTTTCTGTTTTATAACCAGACATTAACCTAATAAGACAGTTTAGAAATACTGAGTAGACATCACATGTGCTCGCGAAACTAATATTCGACCCTGCTTATACCCTAGACAATTGATAACAGAAAGTAATTCATAATACGTACATTCTTGATGAACTAAAATATTCCTAATTGACCGTTCTTTTATTCTTCTTTTTTAGTTTCTGCGTCTTCATCTTATTACTAGATTTCATGATTTAGTGTTCAGTTAAAATTAATGCTTAAAATATTGCCTAATTAATTTATATGATGTTGATAATTTAACTTGCAGACTGCGTGGTCAAATATATATACTTCATTCATGTGGATTATTAAGTCTAAGTTTTATCATCGGACTTAGAATTCTATGTTTTTCGTGTTTTCATGAATCCATGATTAATTATGGAAACTAATGAGCATGCGAAATACGAAGTTCACTTTTGATAATATGCAAATAGTATGGCATTAAATTATCCACCAAAAACTTAATTATCCATCATATTCTTCATAATAATCTCCGAAATCTTAAAGGTTTGTTAATTTTATAAGATAAAGTTTTTTATTATTATTTAGTATTTCGAGAGTAACATCATCAACATGACTTACGTTTATAACTTCTAAGTGAAAGTAAAGAAGGGTGTGTAATGATATGTCAACTACAACATATCTGCTATATCCATTGTCGTAGAGATCTATCGCCCAATACCAGGGTTCATCACGACAGATATACAACTGGTCGAAACACCATTTATATCATCAATTACTTGAACAAAAGCTCTTTTTCTTTTTTACATTGAGATAGTTTCTATTTTCTGTATCTAAAATTTAAAACACACGCATAATACATCTACATGTATGTATATTTGGTGCAGTTTTTTTTATCTTGCTTTTGGCCTAATAGTTATAGCGCTCGACTCGCAATTTGCAGAACGTGTGTTCGAAACCCGTAACCAGATATGCTCGCCCTCCCAGCCGTGGAGCGTTATAATGTTGGTAAAGAGTAGCTCTAGAGTTTGCGGTTAGTAGTGCCTTCCCTCTGTCTATCATTTCAAAATTAAGGATAGCTAGCACAGTTAGCCCTGGAGCAGCTGTGCGTGAAATTCAACAAACAAACATATCTTGCGTTTCTTCATATCACTGAAAAGTTACACAGATGGTAATCCAAGCATGATATGAACTTGCACATTTTCCACAAGTGTTTAGCCATAAGATATGCGAATTCGGATTTTATCAATCAGTAATCATGTAATTACTAATATCAACACTAACTGACAGTGTTTTTTCAGCAGAAACATGTGTCTTGGAAAATTTTAACGTTTTTATAGATGTTCAGTTAAGGATCATGGATAGTTTTAAGATAGAAATATAGTGTATTATATTTCCCTGTAACCTGCCAATTACAGTTACTTTTAACCCCAAACCAGACCCGGTCCTTTTATTTACTATGTGCATCAAATCATTATACACCGTAATACCGCAACAGGAGGGTTTAATAACCTTAAGACTTCACCCCCCACTACTTTGATCCGTTTAGCAGAACTAGTTTTAAAATGCAGCGGGTTCTATTTTAACAATGAATTCTATGAACAGGTTAGCTGCATAGTTATGAGAACTAACATGGGCCCCAATTTTGCAAGAACACATGTTTACACGGTATGATAGCCCCTTACCCCTACGTCGATGACGTTGTTGTCCGAGCTAGAAACGTTTATTCATTACGTTAGTAACTTCCATCCTTAATTGTCTTACACGCATGACATTTCTGATTCATCACCACCATTCTTGGATATTCTTCTTTCTATATCATCTGATAACATAAC